TCTAATTATTTACGGGTACCTTATGATAACTACAGTATAGTATACCCCCAAACCCTATTCTAGCTGTTAAGGTCCCTACATTTCCATTTCGGTATTTTCCAGCGCCCCCCCGCCAGGTTCACAGTCATCCCACAGGGCGGAAGAAGGCGCACCTGCTGTTAAGGATTCTAGATCATCGGGTTTTAGGGATTTGGATCCTTTCTCGGGTTACTACAGTATAAGGGTACTATAAGGGTTCCATGATAAGGGTTTAGGGATTTGGGAGTTTCCGAAGATTAGGGATACGTTACTTATAACAAGGATCCTACTATTTAGGGTACTATATTAGGGTCTTCCTATCTTCGGAAACTCCCATTTAGGCCTCAGGTTCGGAGTACATCCTCCACCCTAACCCCCAGAGGGGTTCGACTTCCGCCTTTGGGGAGGATTTCGGGTTGACAGGCGTTTGGGGTAGGAAAGCTCGGGGCCAGTGTGTTAGGTTTGCAAGGGAATGCGGTTAGGGCTTTCAGGGTGTCAGGTCTTGGTGTTTGAGGTTTTTTTTTAGTTTTTTGGGCGTTATAGGTTGGTTATAGTCTTATGACTTTTAAGGGGTTTGATGGGGTTTAAGGTTCGGGGCTTAGAGTAGCCGGAACTCCGGACCCTGAAGGGTAAATTCTGACCCAGTGACGTTGCTTCCGCATATCTTCCTATATGCACGCAGCAGCTCGTAAAGATATCTGGCATTCTTTGTGCAATCCAGAACGTCCCAAGATCCCTCGACGTCAAGACTCTTGAGGCTCCATCTCCGTCATGGAATATTCTATAGAGAACCCTAAACCCCAAAGCCTTTCCGAAATCGAAGCCGTTTAGGACCCCTTTAGAGGACCCTGAAAGCCCCAACAAGGTATACCGTGGCCTTTGCCGGTTCAGCGCCGGAAGGCGGCAAAGACAGACAGGACCAGCTTTAGGGTTAGGGTTTAGGGCTCAGCGTTCAGGGTTTAGGGTTCAGGGTTGGGGGTTTAGGGTTTAGGGTTCAGGGTTTAAGGTTCAGGGTTCAGGGTGGGGTTTGGGGTTTAGGGATCAGGGTTTAGGGTTCACGGGTTCAGGGTTCGGGGTTTAGGGTTCAGGGCTTTAGGGTTTAGGGTTGAGGGTTTAGGGTTCAGAGAAATGTAGTGTGTCTTGGTTTTCTCACCAAGATTTTAGGGGTTTTGAGGTAGGGCTTTTAGGGTTTGGATGTTGTTATATAGGGGTTTGGTAGGGTGTTGATAGGGCTGCATAGGTTTTAGTAGGGCTTTCAAGCGGATTTCCATATTTGGGTTTTGATAGGGTCACCGGGATGTCATACAGCGTGTATATATTTTTTTTGTGAGTTTTGTAATCGGTATCTATCTTAGGTCCCCCCAGTAATGCACTTACGCCCTTTGTAATTTCGGGGTCCCTGACTCTAAATGAACAATGGGAATGCGGGTGCCCTTGTTTCTAAGGGGCTAGCAGCAGCAACAACAACACTAACAAGAACAACTAGCTGCAAACCCCAACGCCTAAACCCAAAACCCACAACCCAAAACCCACAACCCTAAAGCCAAAACCCACAACCCTAAAGCCAAAACCCTAAACCCTAAGCCCTAAAGCGCCTAAACCTCAAACCCCCAAATCCCCACCGAGCCCGTTCTACGTATTTTTTTTGGGGCCCGGCCGCTGCCAGGGCCGAAAAGAGCGATCCAAGCCCTCTAAAAGACGGGGGCCCTGTCGGTATAGGGATCTATAGGGTTCCTTTAAGGGATCTGCAGGGTCCCTTTAAAGGGATCTATAGGGTTCCTTGAAAGCGATCTATAGGGTTACTTTCAAGGTATCGGTATAGTCATGGTAATATAGAGCTGTAGTATAGCTTTAATTATTCAGCAGATAGTCATAATATACCTAGAGTTTAAAGTATAGCTATGACTAAGTTCTAAGCTAGCTGCAATTTAATTAGAATACTGTTTTAGTGCAGGTACCGGATCAGGGTTGCTAAGGTTTTCGGGTTTTGGGTTTGGGGGTTTGGGATTTCTGCATGTTGGGTTTAGAGTATAGGCCTTAGGCTTTGGGTTTAATGGCCTACCTGCTTTGCGAACTTGAGGTCTGGGAAGGCCTGGGGCGAACAAGGTATTTAGGGTTCAGTGCCGTGCTTACTGACTTGCCGTTCAGGCTTCAATAGGGTTTTCGTTCCGGCATTGGGGTTGAGAGTATACCGTGCGGGCACCACGGATGTATAGGCCTTCACGTCTTGGCGCTTGTACCTTCTTGCCTGCGGGTTTCCAGGGGTGTCGGAATTTTTGTGTTGGCTCAGAGAAGCCGCTAAACCCTAAACCCTAAACCCTGCACTTTAACAAAAAACCCAAACCCTAAACCCTAAACCCTCCTAAACCCTAAGACTCGGATGTTGGTTCCAAAGGCGCAAACCCACCAACCCCTGCAGCCCAAGGCTGAAGCTGCAAAGCTCCCAAGCCTGAGACTGTCGAAGTTCCCCAGACGCCCTCATACAGGGCCCTCGATAATTTCCAATAGTGTTTTGGGGGGTTCCTTACTAGAATTATAGCATCATGGGCCCCCAAACCCTGTTTTAATTATTCAAGGCCCCTTTGTTATCAAACCCGAACTGATAATGACAGACCGTCGCAACAAAGGACGACAGTTTAGGGTTTAGGGGTTTAGGGGTTTAGGGTTTAGGGTTCACGGTTTAGGGGGTTTAGGGGTTCCCAGAGCCTCCAAAACCCCTTAATTAAGGAATATACCTTAACTTATAATAGGATCCCTAATATGGTTTTAAGGTATATTCCTTATAGATCCCTTTAAGGAACCCTTTAAGGAACCCTGACACCTGTTGCTCCGAAGCTCCCCAACTGCAGAGGGAGTCCCGTAACATAGGGCTCCTTTAAGGGATCTTTAGGGTTCCTTTAGAAAGGATCTATGAGGTTCCTTTTAGGATCTTTAGGGCCCCTTCAAGGGATCTATAAGGGTGGTTGTCAAAAGTATGGTCCGTTTTTGGGGGTCCCCATTATAATACGGCACCTATTATTCAGGGTGCCCAAACAGGGACCCTAATTTTGACAACTACCCATATAGAAATCTGAATACCTAGACCCCCAAAAGTAGGTGAAATAATGGCCCAATACCCATAAAAGGCTATGATTCTGCATACTTTCGGGGTCCAGGTAGTTACCTGTCTTGTTCCGGTCCAAAGGGTTCCTGATTATAGCGTTGCTATAAAGGCGTCCCAAAACCCTATTGTAATGGTTAAGGCCCCTACATTGTTTGCACAAACCCCGTGAATCCCTATGAAAGCTTTTGAAACCGTAGGGAACCCTATGAAACCCTGTGAAACCTCCCCAGAGACTCCAATATCCCTGAATTAAGGAATATTCCTGAAATCATATTAGGGATCCTATTATAATTTAAGGTATATTCCTTAATTGAGGGATATTGGAGTCTATGGATCTTTACCCCAAACCCATCCACGCCGCTGAGAAATGGAGTGGAAGCGAAGCCAAAAGCCGGCTTCTAAGGAAGAAGGCGGCCCGGTCGGGTTTAGGGCTTACCTGTAGCCGAAAAGACCTACCTTTTTAATGAACTATATATAGAAACCATAATAAGGACCCCTAAAAAGGTAGGTCCTTTCTGCTCCGGGTAGGGTTTAGGGTTTAGGTTGTTCTTTTTGCTTATTGGAGAGAGCGCGCGCGCGCGGGGGGGGGGGGGGGGGGGGGGGGGGGGGGGCTTGGCGTTCAGGGGTTCGGATCTAGGGTTGGGGGTTTAGGGTTTAGGGTTTAGGGTTTAGGGTTTAGGGTTTGAGGATTTAGTTTAAGGGCGTTGGCCTCCTTGAGACTAGGACTAGGCTTCGCTAACCCCAACTCCGAAATCCTGAGCCCAAAGCCCTCGAACCGAAAACCTTCAAGCCCGAGGCCAGGAACGGAGGCCGAAACCTTAAACCATCAACCCCCGACCCTACTGAAATACTTTAGGGGGGGGTGGGGTTTGGGGTTGAGGGGGCTTCGGAGTTCCAGGGCTTAGGGTTTAGGGATCTTTGGTTTCCCAACCGCTCCTTCCTATAGGAGAAGTGTCCAGGAGTTTCGGCTTTGGGTTTAGGGTTGAGGGTTTAGGGTTTAGGGCTTTTGAGGGCAACGGATGTTTGGAGTTTCGGGTTGTGAGGCACTTCGTGAGTTTTATAGTGGCGGATATTCTTTGAAAGGTATACGCCTTATGCAACTTTGAAAGGTTCTCTGAGCAAAACCCAGGTTTCAGCTGCCATGTATGGAGGCCTGGAGACATGCATCCCAACAGTTGTGTTTCAATGAATCCGGCTCCAGGCTTAAAGAACCCTGCAGAGAACCCATAACGAAGAGCCCCCTAAACCCTAAACCCCAACACTCTAAACTCTTGAACCCATAAAGAAAGACCTTATAGAGCTCGTACAAAACTTCAAGACCCGATCTTGCTGGCTTGGTCAAGCAAGCTTCCAAGAGGAGTGCTTTGAGAGTTTTTTAAGTTTCAATTCCGGCATTTCTTGTGTATGTTTTTAGCGTTCAAGAATGGTGTTCCCCAAGCCCAAACCCGAATCCCGCAACCTCAAACCCTAAACCACAAACCCCTAAGCCCCATACTCAAAGACCTTCAGGGTTTGAGGTTTGTGCAACCCCCTCGGGCAGCTTATTTTTCAGCCTCGGAGGAATGTGAAGAACCACAGGTGGAACCCCAAATTCCTTCAGCTCTGAGCCTTGCTTTAGGGGTCTGAACAAGAAGCGACATTCTCCCCTGCAGGTCCCCTGAACCCTAAGCCCTGCATCCCAAACCCAAAACCTAGTCTAATCTGTTGCGGCGTTGTATTTATTTGCTCCACAATCCGATCTATGACGTCACCAGCTGAGAAAGGTCTTGGCATTCTCAAACCTTGAACTCTCTTCCCTCAGGCCCCGAAAATCCAACGCTGTTCCTTGAAATCCAGAACTATCGCCCCAAACGAACCCCACCCCTTACCTGCGGGCATCATGGATTCGGGCTGCTGCTGCGGCTGGGCCAAGCTCCTGGAGCAATGGGGTGCATCTTCGCCTGACTTATTGCTGTGGGTTCAACGCAGAGGTCTGCATAAATTGTATCAGCCGTAACATTCCGTAAAGCTTAATTAAGACTGGATTCTAACCGATTCCAGATATTATGGCAACTCTGTTAGGGATGTTTTTGGTTGGGGGCTTCCGGAGATCGAGTGACGGCTTTAGCCTCCAGAACCCACGAAGACTTGGTTCGGATGGGGGGTGGGGTGGCTTTGCCCAGGCCTTCCAAAATCCCTTAATTAAGGAATATACCTTAAATTATAATAGGGTCCCTAATATGATTTAAGGTGCATTCCTTAATTAAGGGGTTTTGGAAGGTCTGGATTTGCAAGAGCCGAGCACGACCCGGTGACTTTTTACGCCCGAGCAGACAATCTTTTCATGACCTGCCCTCTAAGGTAAAAGCCAGAAAGTTGGAATATGATTATCCTAAGCCCTTTATGGTAAATTATAAGGTATCCTACCCTGAAACCGTATTCCAACTTTCTGGAGTTCCCTGTAAACGATTTTAAACCCCAAACCCTCAGTCCAATGGCGCAGCCGGACAATCCACAACAACTTCAGAACACCTCAACAAGACGAAAGCCCTCAACCCACGAGCCTCCAGACGCAGTCACCCACCTAAAGCCTGAACAACCCGAGCCCTAAACCCTAAAGAAATTTGTCATAGTTGGGTCACATTTTACATTTTTATGGGTACTTAAGCCCAATAAGGAATAACAATTTAGATTTTTAATCCGATCCCAACCATGAACTAGGAAACGTCGAAAGCCCCAAAGCCCGGACATCGAGCCCCTCACATGTGCCAAGGACTCCGAACCTCAGGAAGATCACAGCCCGTCCCGCGGCACATACCCTTGGGTTTCGGGTTTGTTTGCTTTGTAGGGTCGATTGGGTCTGGGTTTGTTTTGGGGGTTTGGGATGTGACGTAAGTACCACTCAGGGAAGTTTTTTCGCTTCTTACTTGGGGAAGGAGTTCGGGGGGGTTTGATGAGCGGATGTTGGGGATCCGCCCACGCTCTGGACTTATTCTTTTTGCCTTTTCATTCCCTTTATCCTATGCCTTGAACCAAAAAACCTAAGTTCTAGATTCCAAATCCTACGGGTTCCTCGCTCTCTGAAGGGTCTCTGTTGATTCAAAACCAGGGATTTCCCAGGACAGGGTTTGATGCATTTTGCGCCGGCAAGCGGGAACACTGCAGCACTGCAGCGAAGGCCCTACAGCAGCTGCCAACGATGAACCGGATTGCGTCGTTCTCACTCCAATATCCCTTAATTAAGGGATAAATCATACTAAGGATCCTATTCTAATTTAAGGTATACTCCTTAACTAAGGGATATTGGAGTCCCCGGGGATGTTCTTCTACGCCCTTACCATTGCCAGGGTCATCATTATTTCGAGTATTTGCGATTTGTGTGGTGCTGCCTAGTGCACCTGGATCTGTTAGTACTGTTAGTACGCGTATTTCATGCATACGTGAGTTTCAGAAGATAGGGGACCGTAGATTCGCAGATCCCAAGCAGTGGGATCGTGACTTCAAGGAACGCCTGAGAACCCACTCGAAACTTTGGGGTACTTAGAAATAATATTGAATTTTTGGTTATTATAATCCCTAAGAAACAGCCAAAATTGTAATTTTTGTTAGGGTTCTAAGTTCAGTATAGGAAAGCACATGCCTGTGCCTCACTTTAGGCTCAGCGTCAACGTGTCCCTGCTGAGCGGGCAGGAGTGCCTTTGCTGCCTGTTGGTTGGGTTTTATTCCCAGAGACTCCAACATCCCTTAATTACGGAATATACCGTAAATCATATCGATGATCCTAGCATAATTTCGAGGTATATTCAGGAATATTGGAGTGTCTGGGTTAATGGGCCTGCACCAGCTTGCAGTTGCTGGAGCAAGTTTCCGGGCGCACTGTATCGGAATTGGCAAACCGAGTTTTCAGCATGCAAGCTCTAAAAACTTGCCTAATAAGTGCAGATGAACAGCACAAGGCACGGCAGTCTGCTCACATTAGTAAGTGCCGTTATGTTGGACATAAACCCGGACTGCATTTCCAGAGGCCTTAGAGCCTGGCCACCCAAATCGTACATCTTAAAGCAAAAGCCAGAAAGTTGGAATATGGTTATCCTAAGCCCTTTATGGTAAATTATAAGGTATCCTACCCTGAAACCATATTCCAACTTTCTGGAGTTCCCTTTAAGACCCCGAAGCCGAAAACACTCGAACTCTTTAGCCCCCAACCGGAACGCTGAAATCCAAGCAACATGCCCGAGTGCTTCCCCGGAGACTCCAGTATCCTTTAATTAGGGAATATATAGTTTGATTCATATTAGGGATCCTATGACAAGGCAAAATCCTTGATTCAGGAATATTGGAGTCCCTGGGTCTACGGGCACAGACCAAGGTCAGGGTCAAATCGCGAACCGACCCGAGGAATGTCCCACGAGCAGGATGACAGCACGAAGAAGCGTCGTTCTTCACGTACCAAGCCAAAGAAGGGCAACAACATTTTCCCTTTACACGCGACTGCGGCCAACCAAGTACAGAATTGCGTTGACAAAAACAAGCAGTAGAACCTTCACGCCGTAAGCTTTCAGCCCTTCTTAAAAGCAAAACCCGACCAAGCCTTTCAACCTTTAAGCTGCCCTACGCCTCATATCGAAAGGCTTCGGAGCCTCCAGCGCCCAGGCTTTGCAAGCTTGTGGTCGATCGCACCTGCACTGTCGAGCTTCTAAAGCTCTGCGGCCGCCTAGGGGTCAAAATCGTATGCTTTCTTTTCGAAGGGAGGGTTTGAACCCCAGAGCCCTAAACCCCAACCCCTGAACCCTAAACCCTAATCCCTAAACCCCAAACCCTAAACCTGTGAGGTTTAGGGTTTACTTCTTGGGAGTTGGGATTCTGCCCAGGGGTTCGGGATCCTCGGGGGCCCTTCCGGGAGCCTTTCCTGGAAGTAGCAGAGGCACAGGGCGCAATTTTCTTCCGTCGTAGAACTTAGACTTATTCCCTAAACCCTGAAACCTTATTTTGAACTAAAACTCCTACCCATTGCGCAAAATATCTTCCTCCAAGGCTTTCTACCAACATCGAGACAAACATAAACGGCACTGCAGCAGCAGGCCCTCCGAGCCTCTTGCCCACATATGGCTGGTTGTCAAAATTAGGGTCCCTTTTTGGGTACCTACTAAATTACGGCACCTAATATTTATGAGGTACCCCCAAAAGGGACCATAGTTTTGACAACCACCCATATGCGTGACGGCAGGTCCGATCTGAAACTTGGATGATACACCCTAACCGGGATCAAAGAACAAGAACCGGGTGGATCCGGTAATCTGCGTGCCGGGGTTCGGCTTAGCATCTGAGCACCCGCGGCACCCGTTCTTTGAGACACCTCAGGCACGAAACTCTAAACCCCACTCCAAACCCCTAAACCCCAACCTTCCGCTTGGAAAACCTTACAATACAAGAAGCCGCTACACAGCCCTGTTAAGAAACCCACAGCAGGACCAGTGAAGCCCTGCGGAAGCCCTTCGAAAACCCCTGCCGGGTTGCAAGGCATCGGATCCAAAGCGAAACCGACATCCCGCAGACGAGGTGCTGGGAGTTAAGATTAGGGGACCCTCGGTGATATAGACCCTCTTAATAAGGTCCCTTTTAAGAGAGCCAGAAGCAGGGTTCAGAAGGGGTACCCTTTAAGGGGTCTCCCTCATCATGCTACCCAGGTGCCGAACCTCGAAGAAGCCGTGTCTCTATTGATTCCACTGCTGAGGTCTTTAATTGACTCTTAGTGAAGGATCGATGGGTGTTGACTAATAAAGGAATCCTCTATTTGGAGAGGAGCCTGTCAGAAGCGTAGTTTAGGGCTTAGGGTTCAGGGTTTAGAGTTATTTGTGGTTTTGGGAGTTTATATCCATTGCAAGACATTTTCGCTGTGGGTTTACGAACTTACGAAGCCTAATCCTAAAGCTTGCAACCTTGAAATCCAGTCTGTTGGCCGTGGCTTTAACCTGCCCCAAACCCTAAGGCCCTATTACTCTAAACCCTGACGTTCTCAAGCCCGAAGCTTTTGCTCCTGAATCGGCCAGGCCCCAGACTCCTAGCTCGTTGATCTTGACATCCATCCATCCATCCATCCATCCATCCAGCCACCCAGCCACCCAGCAATCCACACAGCCATCCACCCAGCCATCCATCAACCATCCAATCTATTGATCCATTGTGTATATATATATGTATACATATATCTGCATGTGTTTGTTTTATGTATTTACAATATCATACACATCCCAGCCTTCTTGCGCTTGCGCTGGACTAGGCAACACCTCCTCCACGCGCAGAGCACGGCCCCGCTGCCGGAGACGGCCTCCCTGGAGCTACTGGCCGAGGATACGGGTTCAGGGTGTAGGGGTTAGGGTTTAGGGTGTAGGGGTTAGGGTTTAGGGTGTAGGGGTTAGGGTTTAGGGTGTAGGGGTTAGGGTTTAGGGTGTAGGGGTTAGGGTTTAGGGTGTAGGGGTTAGGGTTTAGGGTGTAGGGGTTAGGAGTTTAGGGTGTAGGGGTTAGGGTTTAGGGGTTAGGGGTTAGGGTTTAGGGTGTAGGGGTTAGGAGTTTAGGGTGTAGGGGTTAGGGTTTAGGAGTTTAGGGGTTAGGGTTTAGGGTGTAGGGGTTAGGGTTTAGGGTGTAGGGGTTAGGGTTTAGGGTGTAGGGGTTAGGAGTTTAGGGTGTAGGGGTTAGGGTTTAGGGTGTAGGGGTTAGGAGTTTAGGGTGTAGGGGTTAGGGTTTAGGGTGTAGGGGTTAGGGTTTAGGGTGTAGGGGTTAGGGTTTAGGGTGTAGGGGTTAGGGTTTAGGGTGGTTTCGGGATTGTGGTAATGGGCTTTTGCGGGCTTTATTTATGGGTTGGTGGTAGCCTTCATCGGGGTTCAACGGGTTTTGTCGGGCTTGTGTGGGTCTTGTGGGGTTTTTTTGATGGTGGTTGTCGCGTTTTGTTGGGGTTCAGGCTTTCGATGCGGGGGGCTTCTTCACTACTACTACTACTACTACTACTACTACTACTACTACTACTACTACTACTCCTACTACTACTACTACTCCTACTACTACTACTACTCCTACTACTACTACTACTACTACTACTACTACTACTACTACTACTACTACTACTACTACTACTACTACTACTACTACGGAATGGCGTCCCTTCTAGGCCTTCTAGGGAGGTTCGCTTGTTTGAGACTCTTCTACGGATACGGCTTGGTGAAGCTTGGGGTTCGTGGTCTAAGTTCTGGCAGGGCGGCGTAGGGTTTGGTGTATGCGCGGTAGGGTTTAGGGTTTAGGGTTTAGGGTTTAGGGTTTAGGGTCACGAATACGTGTTTGGCTTGTTTGTTAGTTGTCCGTATTCTGCAAGTATGCATGCATGCATGCGCATATTCGCAGTTGGATCGCCTGGCTGAAGGAGGCATGCATTTATTTGGCCATCCTGGCCCCTAAAGCCCAAACCGATACCCTGATTCCTAGAATAAACCCTACAACAAAAAAAACAACAAACACCCCAGGCCCGAAACCCGAAGCCCGAATCCGAATCCCCGGAGAGGCCGCGGAAGGCGAGAAGCGCGTTCAGCTGCAGCTCATCCAGCCGCCTGGCTTCCATCCCACCTGCAACAAGTCCCCTCGATTCCGAAACCCTAAACCGCTGCAGCTGAAACTCTAAGCTGTGCAATGTAGGGGCCTTCAGAATTAGCTCTACTATTGTCGGGGTTCCTTATGATACTTATGGTATAATGGGCACCAAAACTCTCTTCTGATTTACCCAAGCCCCTACATAATGCCCTGCAGTTGAAACTCGAAGCTGTGTGAGTAGGTACCTATACTTTTTTCGGGGTTCCTTAATATAATAATGGTATAGTATACCGCAAACTCTATTCTAATTATTAAGGCCCCTGCATTGAGGTCCAACCGCAGGGTGAACTCGGACCGACCTGCGCCGAAGGAGGATGGTGCAGAATCTTGACCGGTTTGGGGTTTGGGGTTTAGATGCTCCTGAGCTTAGGGTTTATAGATTCAGATTTAGGCTGTAGGGTTTGGGGTTTAGGATTTAGGCTTTAGGGTTTCGGATTTAGGATAGGATTCAGGATTTAGGGTTTAGGGTTTTGGGTGTAGGATTTAGCGCTATAGGTTTCAGGGCTGGTGGTTCAGGGTTCAGGGTTTAGGGCTTGAGGCTCGGCGTTTGGGGCTTGGGGCGCGGAGTTTGGGGTAAAGGGTTTCAGGAGAAGAGATACCGACTGCAAAACCTCCTAAGTAAGAAGGAGTCTGGGGCTTTGGGTTTAGGGTTTAGTGTTTAGGGTAACACTAGGTACCCATTATAGGAATATCCCCTCCAATGCCAAGGCCAGAGCCCACCCTCATCCTCAGGGGTTCGGGTTTAGGGATTTTCTAGTCTGGGGCTAAGGGCTAAGGGTTTAGGGTTTAGGGGGTGTTAGGGTTTAGGGTTTTGGGGTTTAGGGGTTTGGGGTTTAGGGTTTAGGGTTTAGGTACATTTGGTATGATGTATGGTAGGCCAAGATCCTCGTACATAAGGGACTCCTGAGGAGCCCTGCTTGCAGAAGCCCCAAATCAGAAATCGCATCTGTCGTAAGATCATAAGCCAAAAGGCCCCAAACCTTAAACCCTGAACTCCGAACCCGAAACCCTGAACCCCACAGGGTAGCACGAAACCCTTCCCGGCAAAAGCCCTAAACCCTAAACCCTAAGCCCTAAACCCAAAGCCCTAAACCCTAAACCCTAAGCCCTAAACCCTAAACCCAAAACCCTAAACCCAAACCCTAAACCCAAAACCCAAAACCCTAAACCCTAAACCCTAAACCCTAAACCCTAGACCCTAAACCCTAGACCCTAAACCCAAAACCCTAAACCCTAAACCCTAAGCCCTAAGCCCTAAACCCTAAACCCAAAACCCTAAACCCTAAACCCTAAGCCCTAAACCCTAAACCCCTAAACCCTAAACCCAAAACCCTAAACCCTAAACCCTAAGCCCTAAACCCTAAACCCCTAAACCCTAAACCCAAAACCCTAAACCCTAAACCCCTAAACCCAAAGCCCTCGACCCTGAACCTGAGACCCTCGACCGTAAAGCTGAGACCCTCGAAGCCCTAATCCGTAAACACTGAAATCCGAACCCTAAGCTGGTCTAAACGGAAAGCCACTAGGCTAGCAGACTAGATTCAGGGTTTAGGGTTTAGGGTTTAGGGTTTAGGGTTTAGGGATTAGGGTTTAGGGTTGATGGAAAAAGGCGCTGAAAAACAAAGAACCCTAAGCTGGTGGAGAGCGAGGTCTTGCGGAAGGCCATCACCAGCCTTGACGTCGATGAATGCGTCTTAGCTCTTCAATGGCGGTTGAGGGTTTAGGGTTTAGGGGTTTAGGGTTTAGGGGTTTAGGGTTTAGGGTTTAGGGGTTTAGGGTTTAGGGTTTTAGGGTTAAGGCGTCTTGACTAGCGGCGCTTTTTCCAGCCTTTTTGAGGGTTCTGAATAGTCAGTACGACTCCCAAACCCTAAACCCTGATTCCCAAATGGTTTAGGATCAAGACAACTCCAAACCCTGATTCCTGAATGTTTTGGGACTGTAAGTTCTAGATCTTTTCTGCCCGAGATTTTGGGGAAATAACAAGTAACCCCTAACCCCAACCCGGAAACCCTAAACCCTGAACCTCACTAAACCCTAAACTCTTAAAAGGAACCCTTAAATGAGCTCTGAAAGGACCCCTATAGATCCCTTTCAAAGGAACCCTAAACCCGCCAATAAAAGGAACCCTGGAGTAAGGCTTGGAGCTGCTGTCCTTGGACGAGCTTCCAGGCCGGATGGGTGTGGGTTTAGGAACCCCAATCTCTGATCTCTAACTAAACCCGAAGTTTAGGGGTTTTTAGAGTTTAGGAATTTCTAAATCCTATAAGTTCAGGGTTTTTTTGGTGTTTAGGGGTTTCTGAACCCTGAGCTTAGGGATTTTTAGGATTAGGGGTTTCTAAATCCTAAGTTTAGGGGTTTTAGCGTTTAGGACAAGGGCCGTAGACCTTAGACCTTAAATTTTTGGGCTAGAAGGGGTTTGATAAGTGTGTAGGAGCCTTCAACCCCCGAATTTCAGAATAGGGTTTAGGGTTTAGTGTTTAGGGTTTAGGGTTTAGGGTTTCGGAATATCAAGATCCAACCCTTAGGGGGCTCACAAGGGCATCAGAAGGGCTTAAGAACTGCAAACCCAAATGTACAAACTTTAAGCCATAGGCTTTAGAATGAGCTTTTGAATCGTAAGCCTCAGACCATCCTAAAACTGAAACTTTATGGGGGGTTGGGACACTTTTGGGGTCTGGGTTCAGGGTCAATTGGTTTAAGGCCGTTCAGGAAATAAGCCTTTGGAAATACAATCAGGGACGGGGGACTGACTCACTCAAGCATCGAAGCTGGATATCAAGGCTGGTACTCAAGCTTATGGCATGCAAGTTATGCATGTAGTTCGAGGCCCCTAAACCCTAGACCCTGTAGGACTTCATCATGTATCCTTCGCCGAACCAGAGGGTGCCTCAAGGGTCAAGGCCTCAGCCAGTTGTTCCACAAAAGCCACACCAGAGAGATTTAAGAAGTCGTTTGCCCTCAATCCCGAACCCTGAACCCCGAAACCCAAGACCAAGAAGCCTAGTCCTAAGCTCCTGCCAGGCATCAACGACAAGGACATGACTTGCCTTCACTTCATCAGTCGCGGAAGCAGAATGCCGTGGCTGTAAACCCCGATGCTAAGAGGTCTCACCGGGGGAGTAGAGACGCGAATGGGGCTTCGATCGGGTTCCGACATACAGCTAAACCATAAACCCTAAACCATAAACCCTAAACCTTAAACCCTCAATGAGGGTGTTGGAGGTGAGCCCTCACCATCGTCATCATCATCAGCTTTAGTGGCTATCGCCCGTCCGCGTGACACTCTCAACCCCAAACCTCAACCCAAAACGCTACGTCGGGTCTCTAAGCTTGACTTCTTGTGCAAATTTGCTCTTCCATTCTGCGCCTGACCGCGGACCTCTAAAGCCTTAAGTCCCCCTCTAAAGCCTTAAGTCCCCCTCTAAAGCCTTAAGTCCCCCTCTAAAGCCTTAAGTCCCCCTCTAAAGCCTTAAGTCCCCCTCTAAAGCCTTAAGTCCCCCTCTAAAGCCTTAAGTCCCCCTCTAAAGCCTTAAGTCCCCTCAGCCCTAAACCCTTAACTTCAACCTGGAGCACTTAAGGCCTAAGTCCCTCAACCCTTTGCGGCCCCTAAAACCGGAGCGTTTCAAATTTCAACCCAAGGGTAGGTAGGATATTGCCCACTCAGTCACGCCCAGAGACTCCAAGATCCCTTAATTAAGGAATACAATATACCTTCAATCATATTTCGGATCCTGCTATAATTTACGGCAAATTCCCTGATTAAGGGATATTGGAGTCTCTGGGCGCTCAGCCAGTGGATTCTCTAAATTAAGGTCCCTTTTTTCAGTCCCCCAAACCGTACGACACCCTTATAGAAAAGACCCGGAAAGGGACTCTAACCTAGAGAGGTGCCCATTCCCCAAGTCCCTAAACCCTGAACCCTAAGCTGGGGCTTGAAAACATCGTTGGCACCCAAAAAAACCGCAAAGTCCAAACCAAACCCAGGGTGAAGGGTTTGGGGTCTAGGGCTTATATAGGGTTTAGGGATGTTTAAGGTTAAGGAAATTAGGTTTTAGAGTCTAATCTTAGAGGCATTAAGCAATTAGGCGTCAACCCCCCAACGCCCAAAGCATGAGCCCACACCATCGTGGCAGGACTACAACGAGTGGACGGTCTTGCACCATGCAGCCTGGTGTGGACTCAAGGAGGCAGAGGGTTTGGGGGTTTGAGGGGTTTAGGCTTTTAGGTTTTTCGATTTTTTGCGGTTGAGGGTATAGGGTTTAGGGTTTTAGGTTTTAGGGCTTTAGGGGTTTCGGATTTAGGGTTTAGGGCTGTAGGGGTTCAGGCTTTTAGGTTTTTCGGTTTAGCGGTTGAGGGTATAGGGTTTAGGGTTGTGTTGCTGCAGGCACCTCCCAGGATCAACATAGTTCTTAACCCGGAGCTTTAGCTCCTCGTCCCTCATAGCGCCCTTGCGGAAACCCGTCGAAGCCCTGGCCCCTACACCCGAAACCCCCAATTCCCTGAAATCCCCCAAACCCCCAAACCCCTGAACCCTCAACCGTAAACACCTGAAGCACCAAACCCTAACCCCCACGTCCCTAAACAGCATTCGAGCCCCACCCCTTCCCTTTCATGGCCCCTAAACCCTTGTAGAAAATTTCTAGGATCCCTACAGGTACCTTAATGGCTCCCTTTAAGGAATCCCTAAACCAGAACCCCCCCGTCTCATGGCGCAGGTCTGTGAGTGCATCCTGGAGCGCCATGATTTCCGGGAAGCGGATGCCCACGACCAGTCGGGTCTTACGGCGCCCCGGCGGCCCAGAGCATTAAACCAAGAGGGTTTAGGGTTTAGGTTTAGGTGCCCGAAAAAGGAGAACAGGGCCTTGGGGTGTAGTATGCTTTAAATACAATGAGGAATTATGGGAATTATTCAGGCTTCTACCCGTTCTTAGGAGTCAGGATCAGGCGAAATCTTGGCGATATAGACCCTTCTCAATAAGGTCCTTTTTAAGCGAGCCAGAAGTACGGTTAAGAAGGGTCCCCTTCAAGGGTTCTATTTCAGGGGACTATAAGGCCCCTATAAGGGCTCTATAAAGGTGCTACAAGGGTCCCTTTTCGGGTTCCTTCAGGGGTCCCCTTTAAGCGTCCCCCTCCGTTAAGTGGTCCCTTCAAGGGCTTCCTTTCAGGGGCCCCTAAACCTTAAACCCTAACCCTAAAGCCTAACCCCTAAACCCTAAACCCCTAAATCCTAAACCCTAAAACCTAACCCCCTAAACCCTAAACCTAAACCCCTAAACACTAGACCCTAGACCCCGAAGCCCTAAACCCTCCTACCTAGGCTCTACACTGTGCCGCGAGCCGCGGACACCTGGGCGCCGCCTTGGTCCTCGTCGGAAGCGGCGCTTTTACGGTGCCCGCTGAGTTTAAGGTTTAGGGTTTAGGGGTTTAAGGGTTTAGGGTTTAGGATTTTTAGGGCGAGATGTTGAAGCGGTCAGGGGTGCAAGGTAAACCCTAAAGCCTCAAGAAGGCTAAATCTCGACTGCAAATCCTGAACGCGAAGCCCTAACCCAAAACCCCTAGCTGGAACCTGAATTTTGGGTTTGGGCTTCTTGGGCTTGTGCGTGGTTTGGGGACTGACATCGCCCGATTGGGGGGGCCGAGACGGCTGTGGCACTGTTTTTTAAAGTGCTTCGTAGGTTGAGAGCTTGGCTTTACGATATAGGGGCCTAATTGTTACAGTAATTACCAATATTATTGTGGGGCGCCTTACTATAATTAGCATGACGTGATGATGCGAGTAGTGGTCTTGCAAGCCTCACTGGAAATCAGGATCATCGTCATGCCATAGTCATCATAAGCGGCATTCGGTGACCATGAGCGCGACTCGAACTACTGGCACCACGAAAACCCATCATTGCGGTCTCTTGCTGTCATGGCTGTTGCCAGCTATGATCGTCATTGCTTTTGCTGGTGACCCTGGGTGCTCTTCGTTTGGTTTGTGCTCAGTCTCACTTGTTTGGATGGAGTCAGGTATCGTTTAGGTTTGAGAGCTTGGCTTTACAGATTGGGCCGTTTGCATCTTGTCGCAATATGACCACTGCGTTTCTTGCTTGTGCAGCAGCTTCTGCATTGCCAGAGGACTTGTAGACCCCAGATCAATGCCTCAATATTCGGACCCTTTAAAAGTTCGAATGATAGGGAATGAAGAATGTTCATCATCATTGCTGCTGACGGAGCCCGAATCGAATCCCCGAGCATCCCCGAGCAACTGTGGGAAGCTCGAAGCCGCTGAAAAGCCTTGATCTCACTGGAACCCCCTTCAGCCCTTAAACCAGAAAACACTCAGCACTTCCAGTTTTTCGCTTTTTGCTGGCCAGGTGGTGAACTCCGCGTATGCCCAGATCGACCGCAACGGCGGCCCAGTGGTGAAATCACTGGTCGGTTTGAAGCTAAATACTAAAGCCCTCCCAAAATCATAAGTCGTCGACCCCACACCTACCGTCCTCTACAACCAATCCCTTGCAACCCCTAAATCCCAAACCGGCAATCACTCAAGCCCAAACCCAAAACTCCAAAGCCACGAAGCCCCTAGAGCCGCGAAAGCCCATAAAGCCCCTGAAGCCCCAAAGCCCTAAAGCCCCTCCTTACAGCACTTGCCGGCCCAGTAGTAAACGGAATGTTTGACCTTCAGCCCTTCAAGGTTTTATGGTCCACGCAAATTACAAACGGTTACCCGTTGGTTCCCCTAGGATACGGGCTATGTGAAATCGTAAACCCTAAATGGAAAAGGTCACCTCAACTTTAAAGAAACCCTAAACCCTACAGGAGTTCGAGGGGATAGATGTTCAGGCCGAAGCTAACCGAGCCCTTCACTATTCTCAGCCGGGGAGGTTTAGGGGTTTTAGGGTTTAGGATTTTTGGGTTTGACAGGGTTTTAGGTTTTTTCAGGGCTTAGAGGGGGTGCTGGCATCTTTTGGGTACTCTATCTACATGGCGCGGAAGGATGCCGGACGCTACACCCTCACTGCTAAACCTTTACCCTGAACCTTTCACCCCAGCTCTACAGGGTCAAGCGTTCAGGGTTCCAAACCCTCAATCCCGCATCCTACCCTAAACCCCAAACCCTAAACCCTTACCGTTGAGCTATGACTGGGCTTTAGGGATTTTGGGGGTTCAGACCCTGAACCCCGAACCCTAAACCCCAAGCCCTAAATACAGCCCGTCAAGCTCCCAAAACACTCTATGGAAATGCTCAGACGCCTTATAACAGAGCCGTCTAGCACGGCGTGAGCCCCGCGTGCAACCCTGAACCCTCAACCCCCAAGCCCATAGCATAGGGGCCTGAATAAGCGGCTTGGGGTATAATGAACACACTATAACCTAGTATAGAATAGCACAGTATAGCATAGTGTAGCATCGTATAGCAAAGTAAAGGCATTGCAAGACCCTTAGAAACTCTCCTTCACGAAGGTGTGGGTTGGAGTGCGCGAGACATCGCTGCCACCTGGACAAGCCCTAAACCCTCAACCCTAAAGCCTAAACGCGAAACCCTAAACCCTCAACCCTAGACTGCCGAGAGCGCCGCTGACCATTTACCTGGTGGTGTCCGACAGCTGCCTCTGCGCGGTGGACGTGGCCGGGAGTGATTTTTCAGTGGCAAGGGAGGGCTGCGTAGTTGGTGCAGGTCGAATTTCCGTGGGGTGACGAAGGCGCTCTCGCGGCAGACGTGCTGGCAATGCCGGTACGACCGGCGTGGGGCAAAGGCTTCGCAAGCCGATGGAGCTTCGCGGACCACATCGGCTGGGTTCTGCGCGAACCCGCGCTCCGCGAGGACCGCCGCGTGTGAAGGTGTGGGACTAAGTTTGTTCTGGTCACCTTTGCCTAGAAAGAGGTGCAGAAGATCGTGATCGTCTGCTCGGGTGGGGACCCGAGCAATATCAATGTCAGACAGTGTAGTCTGGGATGACCTGGGACAGGTAATGACTGCACCCACGAGGAGACCACGAAGGATGATCTCGAGAAGGCGATCCCTGCGCTGCTGGAGGCAGTCAACCTTCAAAGGGCCTACACAAAATCGTTGAACGAGTTGGCAGGAGTGGCAGTCCTGGGACTACGAAATCAAAATCCTGGACGTCGTCCCCGTCTCCTTCCTCGAGGCTTCAGGTAAGCGGATTCATGCAGAAAGACGGTGTGTTTCGATTTCAGTCAAGCCGAAGTCGTCGCGGCCTCGGTAAGGCTCGACGTATAAGGTTCTAGGCCACACCGACGCCCAGGACCCTGCTGCTGAGTGAGCGCGGGCGACCAGGATTACATCTTCCGTGCACGACGCATTGCAAGGTACGACCAAAAAAGCATTGGCGACCGGCGAAACTTGCATGCAGAAGCAGGATTTCTCGGTGGAATACCTAGCGTACGGATCGAATACGAGTCTTGACGCTGAGTCTCGGCTCAAGCGCATGCCTGTTCGGTTAGGCGACACTTGACCAAGCACGGCGCACAGCACCTGATCTACCAGTACATGCGCCAACCGGCCATGAAGAAGCGTCCGATACTCAGTCCAACTTAACTCCAACATGAAAGCCGGAAAGAGCCTGTACACCAGGAGCCCGGATCATCTGATGGCAATCGGCCGCATCTTCCGGATAAAAAAGGACAGGGGACAGACACGGAACGACACATGTACACACGTACACGCAGTATATTTGATTTGTCACCTCTAAATTGTTCTCGCATTTCGAGTATCTATATGTGTGTATTGCTCGAAGTACGACAAACAATTAATCAAGGGTGTGTTATATAAAACAGACAAGAGAGCTTTTTCTATCGGATTCCACAATGTTACAGAGCCTGATGATGTTTAAAGCTTAGGATTCGAGCTTACGGTTTCAAACCGTCCGGAGCCTGCTCGGTGCATGAGCAGCAGTGCTCTGTATGAGCAGCAAAAGCCGAGCTTCGAGCGTCCCCAGTCGCCGGGAAGCGCTGGAGTTTCTGGTTCTTGAGGAGGCCGGAGGAGAGAGCGACTGACGTCGTGAAACAACTGGGCACCCCACACAAAATCGCATTGAACTGCGTCGATCTTGTCCCTTAGCAATGCTGACTGTCTTGGATCCACTGCACGAAGTTGTTCGCAGCTTCTTTTTGCTCAAGCTCCTCGCGGTGCTACTCTTCCTCGTGCCGGCCTCGGTAGTCCTCTTTGCTTTACCAGATGTGCTCTACATCTACAGGACATCTAGCATCATGGCGGCAAGTAACAGTACCGGTCTCGGCTGCTCGGTCGTCGACAGTCTGTGCTGCCTCGGGCGTTCGCCTTTCCTCGTCGGTCAGGCCCCCTGACGGCAGCGGTCTTAACTCGGTTGTTTTCGTGCTTAGTTTGCGGGAGACCTCGTTTCTTTGAGGTCCTTTCGTCCGAGTCCGAGTTCCTGCCCAAACAGCACCGGCCTTCGAGCAACTGCCTCAGGTTCCTGTGACTGTACAGATGTGCGGTTTTGATTCGACCGCAGATTCCCGCGGTGGTGGATGCCCCACCACGGAGAGCAGGTGGGCTTCGTCATGAATGTTGCAGTCCGACGAAAACGACTGGACTAATTGGCCACCGCGATGGAAGAGAAACTGTTGAACACCTGGACCGCCGAGCTCTTCGCGGGAAAAAGTCAGAAAAACAGCTTAAAGTCCCGAAGCCCCTTGAAGCCCTGGCCTGAAACCCGAAGCCCTAAAACCCTGAAATGCTAAAACCCTGAAGCCCGCTGAAGCCTAAACCCCCAAGCCCTGAAACCTAAACCGTAGAGAAAGGCCCCAAAGTTTCTATTTTCTTCAGCGCTTAGGCTTCGGGTTTTGTTTAGTGTTTCGGATTTAAGTTGGTTGGTTGGTGCGGTTGGTGGGTTTAAGGTTTAAGGTTTGGGGTTTAGGGCTTAGGGTGTTGGGGTTTAGGGTTTAGTTAGGGTTTTGGGGTTTGGCGTAATGGTTTCAGGGTTTGGAGGTTTAGGGCCAGTGAGGCTTGCGGGCTTGGGGGCTTCAGGGTTGAGGGTTTGGGGAGCAGGTTCAGGGCCTTCGCAGCCAACGACTCAGCAGAGCTTGCCAGAGCAAAACATCCAATCTTGGACCTAAAACGTGAACATGACTGTATGTTGCCCATAGGCACTGGGCACTAAATACCCCATGCCAAGAACTGCATGAAGTTGGTTCAGACAGGAGACTTTGTAAGTTTTTGGGGGCATCTTCAGCTTCTGCAAAGCGTTACAGCCCACCGCGGCTGTAGTTATAACCCTTAAAACAAAAACCCTAAAACCCTAGACTCTAAAACCCTAATCCCTAAACCTAAACCCTAAAACCCTAAACCCTATGCCCCGGACCATCATGGAACCCTGAGCTCTAGACCCTAATTACTTGTTTTGGCCCTCAGCTCAGGTTCGTTACGGCCACATGCGCATCGTGAGCGCCATCGACGAAATGAACGGAGACCGCAGTCGTTAGGTAAATAATATGGTTGAACTTTAAATAAGTAAAGAAATAAATCAACACACACACACACACATATGTATCTCTATATGTATCTCTCTCTCTCTCTCTCTCTCTCTCTCTCTCTCTCTCTCTATATATATACACATATACATATACATATACATATACATATACATATACATATACATATACATATACATATACATATCCATATACATATACATATACATATACATATACATATACATATACATATACATATACATATACATATACATATATATATATATATATATATATATATATAATGCATGCCACCCAAAGCATGCAAGGCTTAAGCTAGACAAAGGCTACAAGCTTAGATTTGGGCTGCCACTGTTGGGGTCGCTCGGCTTTTCGCGGCATAAGTTAGCGTGGGCAGCCGGGCCCGAAACACTGGTCATACAATGTGGGGGCCTATACCTTGACCCCAAATAACCTACTTTTTTAGGGACTTATGTAAAGAAATCATATTTGGGGGCCCTAAAAAGGAGTAATTAGAATAGAGTTTTGGGATATAACATGGGGGCCTTGATGACTGGAATAGGGGTTCCTTTTAAAGGGGTATATAAGGGATACTATACAGGATCTATGAGAGTAGTATAATATGGGGGCCTTAATAATTGGAATAGGGCTGTGGGGCCCATGATACTATAAATGTAATTAGAAACCCCTGAAATAGTAGTGGTAATTATTTGAGCCCCTGTAGTACCTGTTGTCCTTCAAACGGGGTGTAGGGTTTACCTGGATCCCCAAAGAACCCACCTGCGCAGGGTTCCTTTTTATGAGTCCCTTAAATAAGTAGAATAGCGTTCCTTCTAACGGGGTCTATAAGGGGTCTATAAGGGATCCATAGCAGGGTTCTATATTAGGGGATAAGTGCTTCGAAAGGTTTAAACTCTAAACTCTGCATCCTACACCGAAGGTTCTTCAGGGTCCGGGTAGGGTAGGGTTTAGGGTCTAGGGGGCTCTGGTCGAATCATGTGAGGGTTACGGTCTCCAGAACCTCCAAACTCAGGCTTGGACCCTCAATCCTCAGCCCTGTCAGGGTTTAGGGGCTTTAGGGTTTAGGCCCACAGCCGAAGGGGTTTAGGGTTTAGGGTTTAGGGGTTAGGCCGAAGCCATAAACCCTAAGCCCCAAACCCTAAACCCCAAACCCTAAGAAGCCCTAAACCCTAAACCGACCGAAGCCCTAAACCCTAATCCGTAAACCGACCGAAGCTTTAAACCCTCGAACTCAAACCCGGAAGGCCTTATGGAAGCATCGAGCTCGGGATGAGAGCTTTTGACGAAGAAATCTACAGCCCTAGCCCCACTAAATCCCTAAAGCTTCTAGCCTAACCCCTAAAGGCCCTAACCCCTAAACCCCTAAAGCCTCCAACCCCTAAAGCCCTAAGCCTCAAACTCTAAGAACCCTAAAGGTCAGCTTAAGATTCGGGGTTTGTGGCCGAAGTCGGCTCGAAGGTTTTAGGATGACGGCGAAGCTCCCGGCGTCGTTGACCGCGCGCACGCTCGAAGAGTGGTGAAAAAGGATGGTTCAGGGTTCATGCACGGGGGGAAGTCTGAGGGCTTCCCCAGGGTTCCTTTAAAGGGATCCATTATAAGGGCTCCTTTAAGGGGTCCTAGTTAAAAGGGATTTATAAGGTTTAGGGTTTAGGGTTCAGTTGAGGGTTCAGGTTTAGGGTTAAGGGTGCAGGTTTAAGGCTTTGAGGGTTTAGCGTTTAGGGCTCAGGTTTTGGGGTTTCGGGTGATTCCAGAGCGTGCCAAGGGCCGAGGATTGAAGTAGGGTTGATTCCTGAAACCCAAAAGCCCGAAACCCCGAATTCCTAAACCCTACAACCCCAAACCCCACAATCCTGAAGCCCTACACCCTTAGAGCTTGATCCCCTATAGATCCCTCGTAGATCCCTCATAAAGGAACCCTGCTAATCGGATCTCTTTCCACTGAACCCGAAAACCCCTATAGACACCCCTATAGACCCTAAACCCTAAACCTTTAAACTCTTAGTAGCTGAGTGGATACCCTTTTCACTTTCTGGGATAATGTAACCCAATATGAAACTGAAAGTGTACACTTTTTGGGGCTTATGAACTCAGGAACTAAGAACTTAAACCCCTAAACCCTAAAAACTTAAACCCTAAACCCCTGAACCCCTAAACCCCTTAGGCAGAAGCCCAAAGTGGCACAGGCGCAGCCGAGGCCCCGGAGGAGGGCGATGAGAACGAGGAGACCTCGAAGTCGGCAAAGCCCAGGGCCCCGGCTTGTCTTTTTCTTTGGGGTACTTAAAAAATTTTTTAATCTTTGGTCATTATAATCCCTAAGAAACAGCTAAAATTGTAATTTTTGCTAGGGTTCTAAGTTCAGTATAGTTTTTCGGTGCCAGAATAGTTGCCTATGCTATTGTAATAACAGACTGGTATAGTAATATAATCCTAAGATACTATAATAATAGAAGAATATACATATACAGTAATATAATCCTAAGATAGTACAGGGGTCCAAATATTTACCTCCACTTTTCTGGGGTTCCTTTAAAGGGTACTACGTATAAGGGTTCTTTTTGGATCTATAGGGTTTAGGGTTTCGGAACCTTAATAATTACCTACACTATTTTAGGGGTTCCTTATTGTTGTTATAGTATAATGGGCCACAACACCCGAGTCTAATTATCCAGGCCTTTATAGTTCTTGTTTCAGAAAGGACAAAGGCAAGCGGGTTACTCTAAAATATGTAGTTTTGGAGGGACTGTATGGTTTTCGTTTGTACAGCATTCAAATCGTCGTTCTTTTCGGACGTCTTCTTCTACTGCTGTCAAGAGCCTTGCTCAAGTCTCGAAATTTTCGAGCGGGTTTGTACAATCAGCCTTACTAGGCTCTTGAGTAGTACCATTTTGCCCTTTCTATTTTAGTGTCCCTTTTTTAAAGCCCAGTAGTAGGAAGAAGGGTACTCTTATTATAAAGGGGCTACTCAGGAGCCTAGCTTAGGTCCTGGAGGCCTGAGGGCTTGATGATCTTTTCAGGGTTTAGGGTTTGGGGTTTAGGGTTTTGGGTTCAGTGTTTGCTTCATGTGGTTCAGGAGCCTCTGATTTCATATCTTTCTTTGGCACCACGGAGGAACATGTCAGCTAAACTTCTGGCGTTGCACTTTATGCAGGCATAGGCTCCTGTTTCGGTCGGGGTTTCGGCGTCAAGTTAAAGATACTACAACGCTAACTAAGCTTGACACCGAAAGGTCAGAAACCACTTGCCCAAAAATGCTCTCTGTCTCGAAACTCACAGATCCTAAACAGAAACCTTCTCAAGCCACAAGTCTGAAAAGCCCTTACATCTCATCCACACACACGCCCCAAAACACCTTCAAAAGACAAGAAGTAGCGTTAATTATTTGGGCCGATTATGTGGCGTTCTAACGGGCTTTGCATAAGGGTCCCTCATTTTTGAGAAGCTCTCATTGTCAGAATCGCAGCTACGGCGTTCACAGCCCCGAACAGAAACGATTCGTCCTCTGTCAACCTTTATCCTTTCCTTAATTCCAACCAGCCCCCTATTCAGAGCCTGATGAAGCTTCGTTACAACTCCATAAGGACTTCTGTACAGCAACAACTTACTTAAGCGACCTTCAGGCCACATTACCATATATGATTACTGTAGCAACGGCATTAACTAGGTGGCACTTTGGGAAACTTTACCGTTTCCCTTATGGTTCCTGAAGCGGTACCTATTCATAAAATACGTTTTAGGGAGGTTAAAGAAAAGCCTTAAAAAAGCAAGCCTCAAACCCTGAGCCCCTAAACCCTAAACCCTAAAAGCAACGGTATCAAAAACCCTAAACCCTAAACCCTAAAAGCAACGGTATCAAAGAAAAGTTTTAAAGCCAGGTCCAAGCGAAGTGCTGAGGAGGACGCGGATGCAACCGCCTTCGATGCTGCTGCCGGGAATCCTGTTGGGCGTCGGGGTTCCTTTCAAGGGATCCTCAAAGGGGTCTATATGGTTCCTCAAAGGGTTCTATATGGTTCCTTTAAAGGGATCCTCAAAGGGGTCTATATGGTTCCTTAAAGGGTTCGATAAGGGCTCTATTGTAGGGTTCTATAAGGGTTCTATTGTAGGGTTCTATAAGGGTTCTATTGTAGGGTTCTATATGGTTATGGTTCCTTTAAAGGGATCCTTACAGGGTTGTTTAAGGGCTCTATTATAGGGTTGCCTTAATAATTAGAATAGGGTTTAGGGGTTTTCGGTTTCGTAAATGCTGGGGGTTTTGGGTGGGGTTTAGGTTTAGGGTTTCGGGTTGACGGTTTGGGGTTTCGTAAACAGTTAAATAGGGTATCGCGCGTTTAGGTTTTTGTTTGCAGGGTTTTGTAAGGGTTAAGAAGATGGGCCTATGGGTCAATAAGTTTTCCAGGTGTGTATCGATTTTTAACAGGCTTTGTATGCGGTTTGACAGGGTTCGTGAATTCTGGGGTTTGAGAATCACGGTTCAGGGTATCAGGTGCACGCTTGCATTGGTTCATTGCCTAGGTTCGCAAGCCTTCTAGTACAGATCCTACGGTACTACAAGCATGATTCAAGCTCAAGCTCAAGCTTTCAGCACTCTCTGTCTCTCTCTGTCTCTCTTCTGTCTCGCTCTCTCTCGCTCTCTCCCTCTCTCTCTCTCTGCGTGCTCGGCCCTTGCTCGTTTTCTGACTCTCTCACTGACTGACCGAATCATTCACTCTCTCACATTCTCCCTCTCTCCGTCTCTCCCTCGCTCTGTCTTTCTCTCATTCTCTGTTCTCGCTGAGCACCTCAAAAATGTCGGCGCCTTGATAATTCGAATAGGGTTTAGGAAGTTTAGGGGTATATCATACTATTATGCTTATAATAAGGAAGCCCCAACACCCTATTCTACCTGCCGCATTAAGGCCCCTACATCACCCCAAACCTGAAGCCCCTAAGGTCTCCCCCGAAGCCTTGAACCCCGAGCTCCGAACCCTAAG